AGTAAGATAAGGAAGAAAACATGGAGGAATGAGTCCTAGTTACTATACATGCATATCTTTTTGACAGGAGGGAGAAACCTTTCACAGATAAGTTACACACAAAGAAAAGGTAAATAAACAATTTTGTACAAGAAATTTAACACATTCTGTACAATGGTCTTCACTTTGCTGTCATCATTTGTACAAACTCTTCATAGTTTACTTGACCATCACCATCAATATCTGCTTCCCTGATCATTTCATCAACTTCTTCATCTGTTAACTTCTCTCCAAGGTTTGTCATCACATGGAGAAGTTCTGCTGCACTAATATAGCCATTGCCATCCTTATCAAACACATGGAATGCTTCTCTAATTTCTTCTTCACTGTCTGTGTCTTTCATTTTTCTTGCCATCATTGTCAGAAATTCAGGGAAGTCAATTGTGCCATTACCATCAGCATCTACTTCATTAATCATGTCCTGTAACTCTGCTTCTGTGGGATTCTGCCCAAGAGACCTCATTACAGTTCCCAATTCCTCTGTTGTTATAGTTCCATCACCATCCTTGTCAAATAGTGAAAAAGCTTCTTTGAATTCTGCAATCTGCTCTTCAGTCAGTTGGTCAGCCATGCTGCAAGCGCTACCAGTTTCCGGCAAGGTACCACACAACCACTCGCTCCACTCGGACTAATCTAGGGCCACCTGCTGGCCCCTATATTATTTTTTAAACAGATTTTTATTTTTTTTCTGTAGGGTGCATATGCTTGCCAGAGAGACAGTAAGAAATCACTCCCCATGGGAGATGGCCATGCTGCAATCCCTTGTCCTCCATTCTCCTCTTGGGATTTTGGGCGCACACACACACACACACAGCATGTTTCAAACCACTGGGTCCAGGACCTGAACCGTGGTTGACCATGTGTGAGTTCAGGACTCATGATCCATGCAGTTGGCCATGTGAATCTAGCTAACTTCACCACCACTTCATGGCCTGGCCTAGGACTATTTTTTAAAAATAGCTTTATTAGGGAGCAGGTAGGAGGGAATCAGGAGGAAAAAGAGCATAAAACAAACATTAAAAAAATGGAAAATTATCTGCTGATGGTAATGTGTGTGGTAATATCTTTGACCAGACTAATATACAGTGTTATTAATGCCGGGAAAATCCATTTTGTGTGCTGTAAAGGTGTACAGCGATTGAACATAAAAAAATTAGAAAATAAAAGAAGAAAAAAACAAAGCTTTATTGAGGGGGCCAGCAGGTGGCGTGGTGGTTGGGGTACTGGATTCCCACATGGCCAACCTTGGTTTGAGTCCCAGACTTGGTGGCTTGAGAATCAGGCTGGGTGTGTGTGTGTGTGCCCCAAATTCAGAGAGGAGACTGGAGTAGAAGGGACTACAGCACAGCCAACCCCCCGGGGAGGATTTCTCACTTTTCTTTCTCTCTGACTCTTTCTCTCTGGCAAGTACATGTGCCCTATGGCAAAAACTTTTTAAAAAGAACACTATAATGAACTTATTTGTATTAACATCTAGCTTAAAGAATAAAAATATTGTATTTTCTTTTCCTTTTTAAATCTTTTTCAATTTGCCAAAAGGTATATGTGCTCACTGGAGAGAGAGAGAAAGTGAGAAAGCCCATCCCATGGGGGATGGTCACATCACAATCCCTTTCCTTCCATTTCTTCTCTCAGAATTGTGGACATGTATGCACACACGTGTGGCAATTTTTTCAAGCTGTTGGGTCTACGACTCCAATTCCACAGCCAGTCATGTGGGATCCAGCTGCCTTAACCGCCACTCCATGGCTGGCACAGTAGTAAAATAGTATCAATCCAGTTGAAGCCCTTTGAGTACTTGTTTTTCCTCAAACACATACTGCTGTTTTGCCTCACTATGTCACTCAGTGTTTATCATTCCCGTACATTTCTTTGTCATTTTCCTACATGTGAGGGTGCTTCAAAAATTCTATGGAAAATTGGGAACCAGCAGTTAGCGTAATGGCTATGTCGCTGGACTCCCACGTAGTCGACCGCGGTTTGCGTCCCGGACCCAGTGGCTTGAAACTCACGCCGGGTGCGTGTGCGTGCGTGCCCAAGATCCCGAGAGGAGAATGGAGGAGAAGGGATTGCGGCGTGACCATCCCCCCTGGGGGGTGATTTCTCGCTTTCTGTCTCTATGTCTCTCTCTGTCTGTCTGGCGAGCGCACACGCCCTACAGTGAAAAATCTCTCCAAAAAAAAAAAAAATTCTATGGAAAATAGAATTGAGTATGAGTTTATTTTGGTGCAAAATAAATTGAAATCCATACATAGTATTTTCATAATAATTCATTTTCATGAACTTTTAGAAGTCCTTTGTACTACAATTTATTTACTTTTTGTTTAATTGCCAAAAGGTATGTGCCTACTCCAGAGAAAGAGAGGGAGTCAGAGGGAAAAAGCACCCTTCGGTGGGATATTGCGTGCCAGAATCTCTTCTGCATTTTTCCGTCCTGTTAGAATTTTGGGCACACACGCACATGTGCCCAGTGTGCTTTTCAAGCCACCAGGGTGGGATTTAAACTGCAGTAGACCATGTGAGATCCAGCTTCCTTAACCAAGGCAATGGAGCTAGCTTGCCACCATTTATCTTTAAACATAGTTTTAACTTTGCCTTTTTTCTTCTATTTTAATCTGTATATTATATCATCTGTGAATTGTAGTTCTTTCTTTTTTTGGACAGGTTTTTGCGATAGGGCGCGTGTGCTTGCCAGACAGACAGAGAGAGACAGAGAGACAGAAAGCGAGAAATCACCCCCCGGGGGGATGGCCACGCCACAATCCCTTCTCCTCCATTCTCCTCTTGGGATCTTGGGAACACACACACACACACACACACACGCACGCACGTGCGCCCTGTGTGAGTTTTAAGCCACCAGGTCCGGGACTCTAACCACGGTCGACTACATAGGAGTCCAGCGACATAGCCATTACACTAACTGCTGGTCCCAATTGTAGTTCTTTTTAAAAAATAATTATTTATTTAATCTTATTTATTAACTCACTTATTTTTTAATTTGACCAGAGAGAAATACACACACACACAGAGAAAGAGAGAGAGAGATAGATAGAGAGAGAGAGCAAGCCACCAGATCCTGGACTCAAACCATGGTTGGCCCTGTGGGAGTGTCCAGTACCTTAACCACCATGCCACCTGCTGGTCCCATGTCAATTGTAGTTCTTTACCTGGTTTGCTGCAGACAACAGTCTGCACCTTGCGCGAGAGATTAGTCAGCTCACACAAAAAGTTAAAGACACGATGGCACTCGAGTTCATCCCAACCTGCTGTTAAGGTCTAAGGAAAAGAAAGGAAACATTTCAGATATTCAGACCGTCAAATCAAAATGTAAGTCACTATTGCTTTATGAGCCTCTTTTTGACACAGGATCAGAGTAGTATGCAATTTTTTTTTTTTTTGAGAGGTTTTTGCTATAGGGCACGTGTGCTCGCCAGAAGGACAGAGAGAAAGACAGACAGAAAGTGAGAAATCACCCCCTGGGGGGACGGCCACGACACAATCCCTTCTCCTCCATTCTCCTCTCAGGATCTTGGGCATGCAAGCACATGCGCTCGGCATGAGTTTAAGTCACTAGGTCCAGGACTTGAACCACGGTCGACTACATGGGAGCCTAGTGACACAGCCATTATGCCAACTGTTGGTCCTATAGTATGCAATTTTTATCTACTATGGAACTATATTATTCAAATTAATTAGAAGTTTACATAAAATCTAGAAGTGCTCCAAAATCCAGATTTTTGGCTGGAAAGGAAGTATCTTTTCAGAGAACTTTCAAACAGTATTGAATCCTGAACTTTGGTGATATGAGGAAAATAATGAAATAAACTAAAACCCTTTTACCCCCTCTAGCTATCATTTATGATATTGTTTACAAATTATCTCATTTTAGTTCTAAACATTTATTTATGACTTTTTTATGTGAACAATCAAAAGAAAACTTTACTAGAGAAAAATTTAATAATTTAATAATGTGTTATATATATTATATATATTTATATATTTCATAAGTGTTTATATACATATATAAAGGATATTTGAATGTTGATTAATAAGAAATTCTTCTTAAATAGTTATTAAAATATTTCACTGGATTTCAATAGTTTAGAAACTATTCTTATTCTCTCTGGAAGAACATACAGTTCAAGAAACTAGTAACATTGATTATTCCTGGCGAAGGGAACTCACTGGATGGAAGGACAGACTTAGGAATAACACTTTCACTTTGTATCTTTTGTACCTTTTGAATTTTACATGAATACATGTATAAATATTATTAGTCACAAAGAAAGAAACAAACAAAAACAAAATTAAAGAAGCAAAACTTGGAAGAAGGCTAATAGGAGGGCCTGCACACCTAGAGACTGGATGTTTGCGAGTTCATGAATAGTAGTCTGGGATACAAGCAAGATCCTCCCAGGTTCAGTGCCTACCGCACATGGTGTTGTAAGTTTTCAACTAGTTAATACATATAAACTGCTCAGAACAGCATCTGATACATAGTAAGGGCTCTAAAAATGAAATGCTAATTATGATTATCTTCTTTGTTTTCACTGAAAGGTTGCTCAAAAGTGTTCTTGAAATCATACAGTTGATTTTTTTTTTTTTTTTTTGTATAGGGGGTGTGGGGTTCGCCACACAGCAAGAGG